AAAAAAAAAAGAAAGAAAAAAAAAAGAAAGTAAAGGAGCCATACACCCAAAAGAAAAAATGATTCAGAGACAGACGCTATTATGCTATTTTCTCAACATAGTTGAGTTCAAACTCTAAAGTCTGAAAATAAAATATTCCCCTAAGCTAGCAGACTTCCAGATCGCCGCGGATACACTTCCCCCAATCTCCTCAGGAAGCAAAGATCGGAAGCCAATTAACTAGATCGATTTGAGAAAAGCGTGCTGGAAGCTATGGTTTCGCCAATCAGTGCAGATGGAAGCTTAAAGGCCAAGAAAATGAAGAGAGAGAGAGAGACAGCGTACCTTGTCGGTGTCCATCGCGTCGGAGGCGGCGGCGGCGAGCTTCACGGCAGCGGGAGGTGGAGCTTGGTCAAGAGCATTGTGATGGTGGTGGTGATGCAGATGGTCGGGTGGTGGATTATGTTGATGGTGCTGGGGTCCCAGCGGCAACGACGCCATGTGACTTTCCTTCTCTCTGTCTCTATCTTCATTTAATATACTTTACAGAGTCCCACACATATNGAGAATATAATGAAAATGTAGTAAAATTCCTAAGTTCGAATATTTTTTGTTTTTGCTTGATATTGATAAGTTAACGTGGATTGTAATAACAGATTGCTATAAGTATTAGTTTCCACAATATTATTACTAATTTTCAAATGAAGGGAATATGCAATATATATACTCTCAATTCTTAAAAATATTATAAAATTGGTTTCTATTTTAACTAATTTTGTTGTAAAAAGAATATCATTTAGGATCAAATTTGTATATTGGAACAAAATTTGCAACTAAACATCTCTGATGTATCAATTTGCAATTTTCTCATTTTTCTATAGAGTGTGTGGAGATGTAGAAAGTAAATGGACATACCACACCTCTTTATATAATTGTGTTACCTTGTTGCTCAAGATTGTTTGGATGAACTGCCAGAGCTGCCCAATTGTGTTACCCCATGTGACCCTATCCACGTGTGGTTCTCATTTTAATTATATTTCTTCTTATCAATTAGTCTTCCTCATTAGACGGTCTATTCATAAGACCAAACTCTCGCCAGCATAAGGTAGATCGTCTTTCCCACTAAGCTCGTATAGCATCTTAGGTCGATCCTTTGACCAACATACCCACAGGTCGAGTTTCTATCGACCCATCCAAGGGCGCTACCTCGATCCATTGGCGACAACCTTTTCTGCAATGTCCTCGTCGACCTGAGGGCTCTGTTCGACCTTCAACTCTGATCGACCAACTAGATTGCCCCGACCTGGTTGGCTGAGTTATCGGATTTACTCGACTCGGTATTGTATCTCATATCAAGTTGTATTTCATTACATGGATAAGTATCGTTATAACTGTTTATATAACAAAACATGTATCATTATTGTATAAACAAGTCTCGTTATCATTTCATCAAGATGGGGTGAAGTGAGCTTGAGGCATTTCCACACGTGTGGCTCCTGAAAAGTGTTTAGCCGGCGATAGAATCTGACATCCGTCCGTTGCGGTTGACCTTGAGTAGGATCGTAATAGTCACGCAGCTTCAATAGATTTAAAGACGCGTTGGACCACCACATGATTCATGTCATTGGCTAGACCTTGAACGTCCGTGTATATCGTCGACATCGGCAATGGAGGTTGATCACTCGTAGATGCTATATTTTTCTTTGATAGCCGTTTTCCAAGTTCATGACCATGAGCACTCGACGTTTTATAACTTAAATATAATTTATAAAAGAAAATAAGGGGCGAAAATTTCAAAATGCTAGAAATGATAGAGGGTTATCTGGATATTATAAATGAGAAAATACTATCTGGATGGAATCGAAACCAAAATGAGAGAGAATTTATAAAATCGGAACTAAATTTATCTAAAACGGGAACCGAAATTAGAGAATATAATAAGAGATTAAACAGAGTAAGCTGAAAAATGAATTTGGTGTATTTTTATATATTTTTTTTAGGGGGGGAGGGGTGTACAAAAGAATATTAAAATTTATTTGATCTTTTTTAAAACTCGTGAAACACTGGTTCATGGCCGAATCAGTGGTTTAAATGGTTCCAGGTCAAAACCGGCCCGACCCATACCAATATCAAATAAAGAAAAAAAAGATTGCTGGAATCCTAACGATCAAAACGATCAAACGGCCAAATTTTTAAGATTTTGGTTTCGATTTTGTGCCCCACCCAGTTCGAAACCAGAAAAAAAAAATCAAACTCTGTTATAAAATGTGATTTTTTAAAAAATAATAATAAACAAACGGGTTGTCGGGCCGCATTCGGTTCGAACTGCTAGAACCGACGGTTCGATTTTTTATGAACTTGAACCGGATAAAACCACGTACTGGTTCCGGCCTGTGGTAAACTATTCGGGCCCGAAATAGTTTGGACTTTTGGGCCGGGCCGGTCAGCTGGTGACATGTCCTCAACCCTACGAAATTGAATTTGTACAAAACAGAACCAACCCATTTTGCCTAAAATCAGACGGAACTCCAGAATCTTGTTATATTTCTCCTCCTGAGAGGCGAATTCAAGAGAATTTATGATCAATTGCATCAAAGCTGAGGACGAAGAAGAAGAAGTCGGCGATGGTAGCAGTCGGGGCAGTTATGGGGATGGTGAGCGGCACGCTGGTTTACTACCACTGCGCCTACCGCCACTCGAGTATCGTCTCCCTCCTGGCCGACGTCTTTATCGTGCTCCTCTGCTCGCTCGCTATCCTCGGCCTCCTCTTTCGCCACATGAACATCGCCGTCCCCGTTGACCCGCTCCACTGGCAGATCTCCCAGGACGCCGCCGCCTCACTCTTCGCCTGCCTCGCCAACACCCTCGGCGCCGCCGAGTCCGTTCTCCGCGTCGCCGCCACCGGCCATGACAAACGCCTCTTCCTCAAGGTCTCAATTTTCATCGTCAGCCCGTCGATTGGTTCATAGATTTTGCCTTTGCCGCGTCAATTATTGAATCTTCTTTTTTTTTTTTTTTNCTTTTGTGATTTTTGTGGGACTTAAGGTGGTTTTCTGTCTTTATGCGCTTTCTGTCATTGGGAGAGCAGTCTCAGGCGTCACTGTTGCATATGTCGGTGGGTAACAACGTTGTGTGATTTTTACATTTCCTTTCTTCTCATGTGGATGTTCTTCAATCTATTCAACAACATATACATATAGTGAAAATTTGTTTTGGATTAACTGAAATTATTCACGCCGTACTGCAGGATTGTGTTTGTTATGTCTTTACATGGTGGTCGAGCATTCAAGCACCAACGGCACGTGTTTGGGGAGGCTTTCTGGTAGACGAGATGCATCAAGCTCTGTTCAAGATGACACGTAAAACACAACCATCTTTCTGTTAATACATTTGAGGACTGCTTGGATGACGACTGCTGCTCGATTTCGTAATTTCATGCATCTTGCTGACTGAATAAAGCCATCTCTGTTGTTGAAAAGATTTTATGCTTGGTAGAAAGGTTAGTCTTGAAAGGTTGTTAATTGTATTTCTTTTACCATCATCCACTTCTATTAGTGAATTATAATTATGTTATGCTGATCCTGTATACCAAATTATTCATTGTCCCAAAAATCTTCAATGCACAGGTATTTGTGTGTATTCTAGTAAGGCCAGTAAGATACTCGGTATGTCAGGTGTTGGTAATGCTCGAAATACATTATAAGCTGCTAGTTTAACTGGTTTTCCTTTTGTTAGTAATCTGCATCTCCAAATAAAACACGTTTCCTTGTATACCAGACTTATATCTGATGCACTTTATATAAACACTACATATGGACTTAAAGGCATCGATCAAAAAATCAACGAAATGCATATAAAATTTATTCTGCAGATAAAAACATCAGTAGTGTATCTTAATTTTCCTCTGCAAGGCCAGAGGTATGGTCTCAATTCACCCCTAAATGCTACAGAGCTAGAAACAAAATGATACATCTCGTTCTGTGATTTCACTTTACAAACAATGGATAAAATGGCAGAATATCGAACTCAATATGTACAGAACAATGACCGACTCCAGAAGAAAAGAAGTAAAAAGAAAAGAAAAGAAGAAGAAAAGAAATCGATGTCAAAAATTGAAAGGATATAAAGATTATTAAATGATTATGTATCGAACTATTTTTTCCCCCATTTTTTTCCATTTATTTATCAGGTTCATGACTCTTGTACTTCTTGAATCTGTTTGAGTGCCTCCTCCAAATCCAACCTCTTGTCCAGGTCCTCTTGGCAGCATGCTATTCCAATCTGCAAAAGCCTCTCCATTTGAATCCTGCCTTCATCACTAACTTCCATTTCCTTGTCACAAACTTGTGCACTTGATTCACCAACAATAGCATTTACCCATCCAGTCAACTCGCCACTGTACTGCCCGCTACCCTGTGAAATGTACTTGGCAACAAACTTTCCCGTGAGTGTCTCCAATATCAAAATCCCCAAGCACCACACATCGGTTTTCTTGCATACACGGCCAGTTTTGGCATAGTCCGGAGATTTGTATGCCACTAGGATTTCATGGACTTGGTTGGGATTCACCACTGGCGCTAGAGTGTAGTCCATCAACTGGGGGTTGAATTCATCGTCTATTAGCACATTTGACGATTTGAGGTGGCCATGAGGTATAGTCAGGGCCGGAAGCTCGGTGTGTAGATAATTCAACCCCTTGACCACTCCTTTTATGATCTTTAACCTCCTTGCCCAACTCAGCCTCGACGAATGTTTTCCTGCAACCACAACATCAAAGTTATTTTACTTTCACAAACCATATCTCTAACTTTAAAAGTTTTTTTTTTTTGAATGAGGTCAAATCTGTCTCTCTCTCTCTCTCTCTCAATTGCATATACCAACCGTGAAGATGTGCGGACAGGCTTCCATTGTTGACGTAATCAAAGACGAGGAGCTTCTCTTCCTTGCGGTACAGGTAAGCAACCAGTGGCAGGAGATTGGAGTTCTTGAGCCTGCCGAGTCTCCTCATGTGCTCATGAAAGTCCTCCTTAGCCACGTTATTCATCTGCTTGAACCTCTTGACGACAAGCGCCTCCCCATCCACCAGCACCGCCTTGTAAGAAGCCCCGAAATTGCCGCTTCCCAAAACCTCGGCCGAAGCCCTCATCAAATCCTGCAGTTCGAACTTCTGCTGATCGTCCCTCACGAACGACAACTTACCTGCTCCTCCCTGTTGCTGTTGTTGTTCACCGCCTTTTTTTCCACTGTTGCCACCTGTAGTGTGAGTGGCAACAGCCGCAGCATTTGAGATGTTGCTTTTTTTAGAGGCTGAGGGAGTGAATGCCGATGCCGGTGGCATAAGTTCCCTCCTGAGCTGGGGTGTCTGGCTGCTCTTTCGGCTCCTTCTGTACACGAGGAAAAGCAGCACGAGCAGAAACAGCCCAATCAGGCTCGATAGCACGATTATCGCGATTCTCGCCGGAGATGGGGATGACTCCGGCGACTTGCTGCCATTGAGCGGAGATAGAAGGGAAGGCTCCATGTGAGGCTCGCACGATTGTAAAGGTGGTTTTGGCCCACACAATCCTTTGTTGCCTGTTTATAATAATAATAATAATGATTATAAATTATNAAAAAAAAAAAAAAAGAAAGGGATTTGAGGAGCAAATTACCTGAGAAGGAGGTTGGGTCCATGTCGAGCAGAGGGGTAGGAATAGGACCTTCGAGCTGGTTGTTAGAGACATTGAGGATTTTGAGATGTTCAGAGCTGATGGAAGGTATGGTGCCTGTGAAGTGATTATTCTCGAGCCTCAGCTCAATGAGCTTGGGGGACTCGAGTGATGTGGGAATAGGGCCCGCGAACCTGTTGTTGGCCATGTAAATCTTCTTCAAGGAAGTCATACCCTTGAAGGCGTCATCCGGGACCTCGCCCGAGAAGTGGTTGTTGGACAGATACAGGGACTTGAGTGCCCCGAGCTTTTTCCAGTCGGGCATAACGCCCTCGAAGCTGTTGTTCATGAAGCTGAGGGTCCTGAGATAACGTAGAGGGGTGAGGGCATTGACGTCAATTTGGCCCTTGAGGTTCATGTTCTCGAGCTGCAGTCCCCAGACGTAGCCATTGAAGCAGAGGATGCCGGCCCAGTTGGCGCGGTTTTCGGAGCACGGGTTAGGGGATGAGCCCCAGTTGGCGAGGGCTGGGTCGGCATTGGCTATGGAGGTTTTGAATTTGAGAAGGGCCTGAGATGGGTTGTCTTGTGCCACCACCACTGTTACAAAATAGGATGAAAATAATAACAGCAGATGCGGAATAGTGATGATTGTAGATGAGATTTTTATTATGCATGGGCGCACAGGGTAGGGTGCAACTTGTGCGCCCGTAGGCATCGCTTGAATTGCCCGATTTACTTTGCCCAATGGTATGCTTCTTTT